CAGAGAGAGACAGAGCATGAATGGGGGAGGGGCACAGAGAGAGGGAGACACAGAATCGGAAACAGGCTCCAGGCTCTGAGCCATCAGCCCAGAGCCTGACGCGGGGCTCGAACTCACGGACCGCGAGATCATGACCTGGCTGAAGTCGGACGCTTAACCGACTGCGCCACCCAGGTGCCCCCCGTCCCCTTACTTCTGAGGGACTGCAGCTTTGACCTGATCTTCCCCTCTGTGGGAGGGTCTCACTGAGCAATGGCCAGGTGCTGGCTGCACCCAGGAACATTTGTGGGACCGTGCTGCTGCTGATGCCCAGAGATTGTGGCCGGGTGCCAGCCCACCCCAGAAAAAGTTCACATGATCATGTAGCAGCAGTGTTTCAGGGATTATGGAAAATCACAACACACATCTGGCACCAGGCTTCACTCTTAATGACCTTGTTCCAGCACCAGTGAATGTGGTTGTTCTCTAGGGTCCTGGGTTCTCTGGGGTTGTTCTCTGGGGCCTTTACCTGTTGGGGGGCACACAGCCTCTACCAAATGTCCTCCCAGCAGGGGAACTACCTCCCCCCGTGTGGTCCAAGCACCCTCGGACTTCACTCTGCTCCTGGGGATTCACCCTTTCACCAGAGTACTGCTAGGTATCAAGCTGCAGAGTTTCAGACTATGTGCTCCCCCTGTTTACAGAGTCTAAATGGAATTTAAACCCCCTCCTTTCTCCTTTCTCCCTTTCTATTTCAGTCCTTGTGGCTGTTTCCACTTTTTCACTTTCTCTCCAGCTGCTTTTGGGGGGGGGGTGCTTTTCCCATACTCTCCCCCATCTCCGTTCTCTCTCCACAAGCAAAATAGCTCCCTGCCCTCTGTGGCTTTTCTCTCCCCCATTTCACCTCTCTGCACCACATACCTGCTGAGTTCTATGGTTCAGGTTGTGTAGATTGCTGTGTTAATCCTCAATCAGTTTCCTAGGTGTGCAGGATGGTTTAGTGTTGATCTGGCTGTATTTCAGGGATGCGAGACACAAAAAAACTTCCATTCTGTTTCACCACCTTGGCTCCTCTCTCTAAAAAGCAAATATTTTAAAATATTATTCTTTTGTCAAGTCTTTTGGGGCTCTAATACTTAGTTTCTTCATGTTTAAGATGGAAATGTTAATAACACTAGTAATAATAATGAGAGTTGTCATTTATTGAATGCTCACTATGAGCCAGACATTATGCTAGGCACTTCTTAGAATTATCCCATTCAATCTTCATGAACCCAAAGAGAAGGGTTCTAATTAGGTCCCCTTTCAACAGATAAGAAAATGAGAGCACAGAGAAGGTAGTTAACTTACTTATGGACACATAAATAGTAAGTGGTTAAGCCAGAGTGACCATAGTATAATGGAATAGGCACTGGATGTGAATCACAGCCTTGGATTCCAGCCTTGATTATCTCACTAATTCTGTGACCTTGGAAGTCACCTAACCTCTCTGGATTTTAGGGTTTTATTGTTGTCTGCTTGTAAATGAGAACGATGGGAAACATGGACTTTATTTAAGTCCTTTATATCTCTGACATTCTGGAATACTGAGAAATTATATTGAGAATAAAAAGGCCAACAGAGTGGACTGAATGGAATTATCTCCCATGTGGAACATTCCAGCTGGCCTTGATTTCTAGCTGTGACCCCTCTGTGCTGATGCCCATGATTACTCTGCAGAGAAGTCCTTACCAGCCTCTGAGCAGTTCTCAGCCATCTCACACTCCAGGCCCCTTGAACATTGCCCTCAATTCTGCAGTTTCTCCTCATGTGCCCTGAAGCCCAGACGACATGTAAACACCCAGACCAAGAACAATAATTCTGCTTCTTGGTATTGAGGAGTGTATCAATTTTCTGTAATTCCTTGTAGCAGAGTGAGCATACATTATAGAGTTCAAGTGCTTTGAAAATAAGCTATGAAGAATTGCTGTCTGCTGAAAGAACTGGCAATTTGTCAACTTTCAGTGGCTGAGCAGCTGAGTGTACTCAATGTGGTGTGTACTGTCGGTGCTGACCTGAGAGAGGTATGGGCAAAGGAGGAGGGAGATGGTGGAAGGGAATGCCCCTCAAATTCTCAGGGAGAAAAATAATTTAGCTGTTGGAAATATGATAGGATTTGCACAAGAACTTGAAAGAAGCTATGTAAATTATAGCACATGGGTCTCAGTTTACATCAAGATATATAAAATAAAAACAAAGAAAAACCATGCAAACTTTGGCATGACATAAGTCAATCATACCATCTCTACTACCTGCTATTCTCATCCACCCCCAATAACTTATTTACTTGTGTCTACACTAGAAAATGTTGGCATCACCTGGTACCCTTGAAACATTTCCTACTTTCCCTCAGTAATTTTGTAATTCACATTTCATTTATGGTTGGTCATGGCTTCTTGGTAACTACAATTGTTTGAAAGATAGAATAAAAATCTTCTTCTTTCCTTGGCTAATTAATCTTTCAGAGGTGTCTGCTTTTACAATGGTCTTATTCCCCCTATTTCTGTCCTGCTCTTTTCCCCTTCTTCCCTTCTCTCACATCACTGCCTTTCCCTATATGTTTGGTTTTTATTTATTTTTATTTTATTTTATTTTTTTCTTTTCAACGTTTTTTATTTTATTTTTTTTATTTTTTTTATTTTTGGGACAGAGAGAGACAGAGCATGAACGGGGGAGGGGCAGAGAGAGAGGGAGACACAGAATCGGAAACAGGCTCCAGGCTCTGAGCCATCAGCCCAGAGCCCGACGCGGGGCTCGAACTCACGGACCGCGAGATCGTGACCTGGCTGAAGTCGGACGCTTAACCGACTGCACCACCCAGGCGCCCCTATTTATTTTTATTTTAAAGAGAGATAAAGAGATAGAGAGATAGAGTTGGGGAGAGAGGGAAGGAGACAGAGAGAGAGAGAGAGAGAGAGAGAGAGAGAGAGAGAGAGAATGAGCTGAGGAGAGGGGCAGGAGACAGAGAGGGCATCTTAAGCAGGCTCCATGCTCAGTTCAGAAGCCTGATATGGGACTCAATCTCATGACCTTGGGATCATTACCTGTGCTGAAATCAAGAGTCAGACACTCAACCAACTGTAACATCCAAGCACCCCTTCCTATATTTTAAAAGAATTCTTGAAAGAGGTTCATTGATCACCACTCTCCCAGGATGGGAAAAACTTTTATCTTAACAAGCAAGATCAGAACCACGGACAGCGTCACCAACTTGTGCATGACTCTCCAAATTCATTCTTTTCCTTCCTTCCTTCCTTCCTTCCTTCCTTCCTTCCTTCCTTCCTTCCCTCCCTCTTTCTTTCTTTCTTTCTTTCTTTCTTTCTTTCTTTCTTTCTTTCTTTCTTTCTTTCTTTCTTCTAGTTAATTAACATATAGTGCAATATTGGTTTCATGAGTAGAATTCGGTGATTCATCACTTACCTACAACACCCAGTGCTCATCATAACATGTGCCCTCCTTAATACCTATCACCTATCTAGCCCTTCCCCTACACACTTCCTTCCATTAACTTTCAGTTTATTCTCTATTATTGAGTCTTTTATTGTTTGTTTCCCTCTCTCTTTTACCCCCCGCCCTCCTCATATGTTTATCTGTTTTCTTTCTTAAATTCCACATGTGAGTGAAATAATAGGGTATTTACTTTTCTCTGATTCAGTTATTTCATTTAGCATAATACATTCTAGCTCCATACATGTCATTGCAACTGGCAAGATTCATTCCTTTTGGTGGCTGAGTAATATTCAGTTGTTTAAATACATACCACATCTTCTTTATCCATTCATCAATCTATGGACATTTGGGCTCTTTCCATAATTTGGCTATTGTTGATAATGCTGTTATAAACATCAGCGTGCCTGTACCCCTTTGAGTCTGTATTTTTGTATCCTTTGGATAAATACCTGGTAGTGCAATTGGTGGATCATAGGGTAATTCTATTTTTAACGTTTTGAGGAATCCCCATACTGTTCTCCAGAGTGGCTGCATCTGTTTGCATTCCCACCAACAGTGCGAGAGGGTTCCCCTTTCTCTGCATCCTCATCAACACCTTTTGTTTCTTGTTTTGTTAATTTTAGCCATTCTGATAAGGCAGTATCTCTTCATTGTTTTTATTTGAATTTACCTGATGTTGAGCATCTTTTCTGTCATAAACTCTAGGTCTAAAGTTCTCTTTTGGCCAGCAAAAGAGTGGATGCAGGATTAAAACAAGAGATGGCTAATGTCCTGGAAAAAGACAAGTGCCCTGAATAAGGGTCCTTTCCCCGTATTTATTCAGATCAGAAGGCTTGTGAATGTGATGGGCGTGTACAAAGAGACAAAGAAACTAGGAACATTAACTTGTGGATGTGAGAGGGAAAGGAGATTTTGAAGATATACACTGTTTGGGGTTTGGGTCAATATAAAATAAAATCCAGGTGCCGGGCAGATGGGTAGATGGTTGTTAACAGCAGACAGGAGACACCATGCCTGTTTATCTTTGCCAGCCGAGGGTATGAGACAGATAGGGGGAATAACCGCAGGGTTAATAAGCCACCTTTTCTTTTGTTAACCATCTCCACTCTGGGCTACTTGCCTGTAGCGCAGTGGTCCAAAGTCCAATTCACCAATTTACCTAACCTGGCCCTATTCTCCTATGAAAGGAGCTTTCTGCTATAGTACTAAATTTGGGGTGCTTTCACCCTGAATATCTAATCCTGTTATTCCTATGTATTGGGCACCTTTGTGCCATTTTTATTTCAGGCCTTTGCCTCTCTCTATATATTTTTGGGGGCTCAGCACCCCTCCCTATTTTGGGGTGCCTTTGCACCTCCCTATTCCTGGCACCTTTGTGCCTCCCTATTCTCAGAGTGTCTTTGCACCCCCCTATTCTTGGAGTGCCAATCTGGTTTACCCAAACTCAGGTGTGAGCATTTTATTGACTTTGTATTTCTTTGTGCCTTGTTAACCCATTGGTGTAAGCCTGGGGGATTCCTAAGCTTGTCCCCCACTCTTTCCATGTGTCTGTTAGCCCTCTGGATGTCTTTGGAAAAGTTTCAATTCATGTCTTATGCCCATTTCTTAATGGGGTTGTTTGTTTTTTGGGTGTTGAGTTTAATATGTTCTTTATAGATTTTGATACTAACCCTTTATCAGAATGCCATTTGCAAATATATTCTCCATTCCATTGAATGCCTTTTAGTTTTATTGATTTTTCCCTTTGCTGTGCAGGAGTTTTTATCTAGATGAAGTCCAAATAGTTCCTTTTTGCTTTTGTTTCCCTTGCCTCTGGCAACATGTTTAGTAAGAAGTTGCTCTGGCTGGTGTCAAAGAGGTTGCTGCCTATGTTCTTCTCTAGGATTTTATTGTTTCTTGTCTCACATTTAGGTCTTTCATCATTTTGAATTTATTCTTGTGTATGGTATAAGACAGTGGTCTGGGTTCATTCTTCTGCATATTGCTGTCCAGTGTTCCCAAAACCATTTGTTAAAGAGACTATCTTTTTTCCATTGGAATTCTTTTCTGCTTTGTTGAAGATTAGTTGACCATCTAGTTGTGGGTCTATTTCTGGGTTTTCTGTTCTGTTCCATTGATCTATGTGTCTGTTTTTGTGTCAGGACCATACTGTCTTATTGGCTATAGTTTTATAATATAGCTTGAAATCTGGAACCGTGATGCTTTCAGTTTTGTTTCTAGTTTTTAGGATACTTGGGGTCTTTTGTGGTTCCACACATTTTGAGAATTGTTTGTTCTAGCTCTGTGAAAAATGCTGTTGGTATTTTGATGGGAATTTCATTAACTGTGTAGATTGCTTTGGGTAGTATCAACTTTTTAACAATGTTTGTTCTTCCAATCCATGAGCATTGAATGCTTTTTCTTTTCTTTGTGTTCTCTTGTGTTCTATAGTTTACAGAGTACAGATCTTTTACCTCTTTGGTTAGGTTTATTCCTAGGTATATATTTCTTTTTCGTCTTATGGTAAAGGGGATCAATTCCTTGATATCTTTTTCTGCTGCTTTGTTATTGGTGTATAGAAATGCAATAAATTTCTGTACATTGATTTTATATCCTGAGACTTTGCTGAATTAATGTATTAGTTCTAGCAATTTTTTGGTGCAGTCTTTTGTGTTTTCTACATTGAGTATCATGTTGTCTCTAAATAGTGAAGGTTTGACTTCTTCCTTGCTGACCTGGATGTCTTTTATTTCTTTTTGTTGTCTAATTGCTGAGGCTACGACTTCTAGTACTATGTTCAATAGTTATAGTGAGAGTGGACATCCTTGTCTTGTTTTTTAACATAGGGATTTAGGAGATGTGATTGTATTCAAGCTTTGTATAAACTCTGTGAGGTAAGTGGGCAGACATTCCTGTGATACAGTTGAGGAAACTGAGTTATAAAGGGGCTCTGTGACATGTACAACTTTCATTTTCCCTAGTAGTAATAAGACCTTGATTCATATTCAAGTCTTGCGGTTCCAGAGCTAAAGCTCTTTTTCTATTACACAAAGTAATTACACTAGATATTTCCTAGTTTTCTCTCACCTTATTCTTTTATACTTTTTTTTTTAACATTTATTTTATTTTTGAGAGACAGAGAGAGACAGAGCATGAGCAGGGGAGGGGCAGAGAGAGAGGGAGACACAGAATCTGAAGCAGGCTCCAGGCTCCGAGCTGTCGGCACAGAGCACGATGCAGGGCTCAAACTCCTGAATCATGAGATCATGACCTGAGATGAAGTCGGATGCTCAACCGACTGAGCCACCCAGGCGGCCCTCACCCTATTCTTTTAGAGTTAAATTCTCTCAGCTTTTATTTATTTTACACAAATCTAGATTGATAGTAATTTTTTTCAGTACATTTTACATATAATTCCTCCGTCTTTAGACTTCCATTGTTACTATTGATAAGTCACCTGTGAATCTAATTCATTCCTCTGCCATTTTCCTCTGAGGGTCTTTACAGGTTTTTTCCTCTTTGGTGTTCTGTGGTTTCACAGTACCCCAGATCAGGTAATTGTCCTTCTCCCTCCCTTCCTTCCTTCTATTTTCCTTCCTTCCTTCCTTCCTTCCTTCCTTCCTTCCTTCCTTCCTTCCTGTCTTTTTTTTCTGTCTTTCTTTCTGTCTTCTTTTTTCTTTTTACTTATCATTTTTGGGATTTGTTGGGCTTCTTGAATCTTTGGATTGGTATCTTTTATATTTTCTGAAAAATCCCCTCCAAATTTCCCCTCTGATCTATTTTCTCTTCTCTCCTACTTTTGGGCCTCTGATTAAACTTATTAGATTCTTTCATTCTATCCCCCTTACCTCTTTGTTTTTATAACTCCTTTATTAAAATATATTTCACATTCCATGCAACTTACCAATTTAAAGTATATAATTTGGTAGTTTCTTAATATATTCACAGAGCTGTGAAATCATCATTAAACACATTTTAGAACTTTTAATCACCACAGAAAGTCCATACCCTTTAGCTGTTATCTCCCACTCCCCCGTTACATTAGTTATGAACTGAATGTTTGTGTCTCCCCCAAGTTCATATCTTGAAATCTAATCCTCCATGTGATGGTATTTGGAGGTGAGCCTTTGAGAGATGATTAGTTCATAGAGTGAAGCCATCATGAGTGGGGTGAGTACCATTATAACAAAAGCCAGAGAGCTAGCTTGGTCTTTTTCATTTATATGAAGATACAGTGAGAAGTCAGCAATGTACATCCTGGAAAAGGGCCCTCACCAGAACCTGGCAATACTGGCACCCCAATCTCAGACTTCCAGTCTCCAAAGCTGTGAGAAATATATTTCTGTTGTTTATAAGCCATCCAGTCTATGGTACTTTGTTATGGTAGCCTTAACTGATTAAGATACCACCCAACCCAAACAACCCTTATTCTAGTTTGTCTCTATATATTTACCTTTTCTGACCTTTTATATAAATAAGATAATGATATGTGATATTTTGTGAGAGGTTTTTTTCACTTAGCCTACTGTCTTCAATATTCATCCATATTGTAACATGTATCCATACCTCATTCTTTTTTTATGGCTGAATAATATTCCATTGTATAGATTTACAGCATTTTGTCTATATATTCATCAATTGATGGACACATGAGTTTCTGCCTTTTGGATACTATGAATAATATTGCTAAAAACGTTCATATACAAGGTTTTGGGTAGACATGTATTTTCATTTCTCTTGGGTATATACCTAGGAGTGGAATTCCTGGGTCAAATGTTAAATCTATGTATAACGTTTTGAGAAACTTCTAGACTATTTCCCAAAGTGGTTGTGGCATTATATATAATCCACCAACAGTGTATGAGAGTTCTAATTTCTTCACATCTTTACCAATACTTCTTATTATCTGACTTTTTGATTATAGCCATTCTACTCGATGTAAAGTAGTCACAATTTGCATTTCCCTGATATTAATGATGTTGAGCATCTCTTTAATGTGCTTACTGACAATTTGTATATCTTTCTTGGTCTATTCAGATATTTGGACCATTTTAAAATTGGGTTTTCTGTGTTTTTATTATTGAGTGTAAATGTTTTTATATATTTTAGATACAAGTCCTAATCAGGTACGGTTTGCAGATATTTTCTACCATTCTGTGGACTGTCTTTCACTTTCTGGATAGCGTCCTTTGAGACAAAATAATTTCTAAATTTAAGGAAGTGAAATTTATCTATTTTATCTTTTTTTGCTTGTGCTTTTTGTGTCTTAGCTTGTGCTAAGAATCCATTGCCAAATCCAAGGTCATGAAGATTTATTCCTATATTTTTATCTAAGTGTTTTATAATCTTTGTTCTTACATTTAGGTCTTTGCTCCAGTTTGTGTTCCTTTTTGTATGTGATCTGAGATGAGTCCAACTCCATTATTTTGCATTGGCTCTCCAGTTGTCCCACCAGCATTTGTTGATAAAATATTTTTTTCCCATTAATAATCTTATATCCTTGTTGAAAATAAGTTGACCATAAATGTATGAAGTTACCTTTGGACTCTCAGTTCTAATCCATAATCTACATGTCTATCTTTATGTCAGTGCTACAAGGGCTTGATTACTATAGCTTTTCAGTAAGTTTTGTTAAACTTATTCCTAAGTATTGTACTTTTTTCGATGTTGCTATAAATGGAATTGTGTTCTTAATTTCATTTTTGGATGCTTATTGCTAGTGTATAAAAATACAATTGATTTTTTTGTATATTGATCTTGTATTCTGCAATCTTGCTGAACTTATTTATTAATTCTAGTACTTTTTTAGTGGATTCCTTAGGATTTCCTGTATACAAGATTATGTCATCTGTGAATAGAGATAGTTTTACGTCTTCCTTTCCAATTTAGATGTGTTTTATTTATTTCACTTTCTTTCTTAATTGCCATTGCTAGAACATCTGGTACAATGTTCGATAAAAGTGGTAGAGTGGACATCCTTCTGTTTTTTCTGATCTTAGGGGAAAGTATCTAGTTTTTGTACCGTTTAGCATGATGTTAAAGTAAGTTTTTTGTAAATGCCCTTTATCGTGTTGAAGAAATTTTCTTCTATTCCTAGTCTCTTGAGGTTTTTATCATAAAGCGGTGTAAGATTTTATCAAATGCTTTTTCTGCATCTAGTGAGGTAATTAAATTAATTGATTTTAAGATATGAAATATCTTCTTTGTCTCTTTTCCATATTTTCCACCTTATTATGGCCCTTATACTTTATTACAGTCTGTGTCTCCCCACTAGAATAGGAGTCTGATGAAAGTTGAGACTGCATCATATAACATATTCTTGACTTTATGAGGGAGATCTTTGTGGATCCTGAAATATGTGAATCCCTTCCCTTCAAAATGCTACTGAAACAAAAGGAGAGGAAAAACTAAGTTGAATTGAGGTGTATATTCCGTATACTCACTGGGGCTTGGAAAGTCTCTTTTTCTTACATACCAGTCTTGAAGCAAATAATTCAATTTTTAGCCTCAGAAAAACAACAAACCATGGGCTTTCAGGATCACTCTTGAATAGAATAACCATTCAATGCTCTATCCCCTAGGGCCATAGACCAGTGGTGTTCATCCCTATAGTACTGGCATGTAGTAGGAAGCAAAAAAAAAAATGTTTGTTTATTTTATTATGACTGTGTACCCTGTACTAGATGTTAGATTAGGTGCTGAGGTTATAGGAGTACATGAAATATAGACCTTACCTCAAGGAATTCAGAGTCAGTAGAGGTAGAAAGATTATTAAAATACAGGGTAAAAGTGCTTTGGTGCTGTAAGCACAAGGGAGCGGAGAGGTCCCTTGTAGCAAGTGAGGTCTGAGTCTTCTCACACTTCTATTGCCATCTCCTAGTCCATGTTACCATTAACTCTCTCCTAGAATAACGTAGAAGTCTCTTCTAACTGACTTCTCTGTTTTCACCTTGCTACACATGCAGTCCATTCTTAC